CTGGCACAGGTGATACTAGAAATGGTCCCACAAAACAGGGAGGAAGGTAGATTTGGGGGACTGATTATTTACCTTATGGCTGATAGCCACAAATACCCCATTCTTTTTATTTCACTTGGGACAAGGTCACATTATATAGACTTGGCTAATATGGAACTAATTATGTAGACCAAGCCAGCCTCAAACTCACAGAGATCTGCTTGCCTTTGCCACGCAAGAGCTGGGACTTAAGGTGTGCACCACCCCACCCAGCCAAGAACCAAATTCATAATGGTAAGTGGAACATCAACATTCCTGACAAAAGATGATAGTCCCTGGTTGGCCAAAATAGGTGGCTCAATTGTTGAGTAATTGCTTCTCTTCAAGAAGCTAGAGTTTGGCTACTAACACTCACATGGCAATTTATAACCATTTATAACTCTCATTCCAGGGGAACCTCTACCCTTTTCGGGCCTCCTTGGGTACCAGGCACAAAAGGGGCACACACATATAAGCAGACTGAACATTCATGAGATGATAGTCGCATTTCTGAAGTGTTCGCTGCTGGTGAGTTGAGACGATGTCCTAGGGAGAGGAATGCTCTGCTGTGTTGTTTTCAGGTTTTTAAGATGTAAACGGTGCCAAGTATTGTGCAGAGGCCAAGGCAGAAGGATGGCAGGCTCAAGGCCATCTTGGAAACCATGATGATAGCTAGTTCTTGTTTCAAAATAAAACTAATGAAAATCAAATTGAGGGAGGTAAGAGAAAGGAGAGAGAAGATGGAATCATGGCGTCATTGCTATTGCCCATGACTACATATTCTCCAACATGGACGTCGGTGGAACATGTGGGTCACTGGACCATGTGATAGTCCCATATTCATCTGCTGGAGAATTTGCTCAGAACCAGTGCAACCTGAGTGCATTAGGGCATCTTAAGTGAGTGAATTAGATGCTGTTTCCATCAAACTCTTGAAGTAAATCAAGGGATGATCATGAATGACGGGATTAGTAACTGTGTGAAAGATGCCTTCCCAGCAGGCAGGGAAGCACATCCAGCTGTCCGTCCACAGTGTGACAGGAGACACACAGAGTCAAACTGTGTAGAGATTAATAGACAGTGATGAGTGATCAGGAGCCTGGAAAGAGAAAATTAGAATATTAGAGACAAGAAGTTAGGTGCAAGGACATGAGAATGGGCACAAGTTAAAAGCTACAGAGAAACCCTGTCTAAAAAAACAAAACAACAAACCAAAAAAGAATCAGTATCTCCTAAGATCTCATTGACCGTGAGCAGCAGGAGGCAAGAGATTGATGGGCGCAAGGAGGAATACATATGGAACTCAAGAGATGCATGGGGGGACTTGAGCCCTGCTAGATTTTTTTTTTTGTTTTGCTCTTGATTTGTTTTGTGAAATAGGGTTTCATGTAGCTTAGACTGGTCTCAAATTTACTATGTAGTTGAGCGTGACCTGAAACTCCTGATCCACTTGCCAAGTGCTAAGATTGCAGGCATATGCCACCATGCCAGCTTAATTATAACATATATGGTGATGATATTGGAATAAAATTACCAGGATTTAGACCTCCCAAAAATAAGGATTTGGGACATCGTATCAGGTGAGCGGCTGATGTCAGCAGGAAAACGGGGGTTCTGGATTGCAGAATGCAGGAGATAGTAAGTTAGACATGGCCACGAAAGCCATCGAAGTCAGATTCTGTGAATCGTCCTGACCATTCTCTTTTATGTTTCTTCTAAAAAAAGAGGCTCACCACATCCCTGGAAGAGCAGCTCCCCAAACGCTTTTAGGAGATGGAGCCACGTGGCTCACAGGGCAAACTGTACTATAATAGATACAAAGATGTGTGGATTAAATCCTTTTAATCCCAGCACTTGGGAGGCAGAGGTGGGTAGATCTCTGTGAGTTTGTGGTTAACCTGGTCTACATGGTGAGTTCACAGTGAGACTATACAGGGCTACCCTGTCTCAATAATACATAACTAGGTAAATAAGTAAATGGAAAACCCATTTCCTTACTGCTACTGGATAAATATATGGTGGTAAGCATTCATAATCTCAGAAGGTTGAGGTAGGAGGTGCATGAGTTCAAGACCAGTCCCAGTTTAAATAGTGTGACTCTGACTCAAAATGAACCAAGCAGCAGCAAAGGTTGACCCCAGCTGTAAGACATGGCAAACCGACAACACCCAGCAGTAAGGGTCTTCTGAGTCAACTTCAAGTTGTCATCACCTCTCAAGGCTTAACCATTTCCACCAGAGTTGAACTCCAGAAAGATAGAATCTTTGGAGTTCATCAACTTCACCCTCTGGCTCTTGTCTTTTACATGTTACTTACACACACACACACACACACACACACACACACAAAGCCACCATTCTCCTAAGCTTTATATTCCTCGCTTCGTTTTGGGGTCTGTTTCTGGGAAAATCCAGCAGGGCTGCCTGTGGATTTAGAGCCCACTTCCTGAACTTGTCATTCACTCCCACCCTTGGGACTAACCCCAGCTATCCAGAGATTCTGTTTTCTCACGCACAAAGTTAAAGCTAGCCATTCCATTCATACCCACACCGCATGGCACTCTGAGGATGGATAGACCGTGTGCGGAAATGCCCTGCTTCTTAAAGTCACAATTAAATTTCTCGAATTTCTATTAAAAGGCCTGAAGTGTTAAAGTATTTCCCAGATCACCAAACAATCCTCAACAGTTTTCAAAGCCTTTTCAAAGTTGGTATGGTGTATGTGCTTTTCCTGTGCTTTGCTTATTCCCAGGGAGTGATTTACACACTTGACAATCAGATACAGACCTAAATAAAGAACTCTAGCGTCCTATAGTAACCTGCCATGGGAATTTGGTCTGTCTCTTTTCATTTCTAGAAGAACAATGACTAAGACAGAGGTAACATGAAACATCGAGACTTCTCTTTGGAAAAAGCACAGTGGCCAGAGTGTTAGGAGAAAATACTCAAAACCTCTGCAGCCACGAACCCATTTATTTCCCCTTGCTGGTTTGTGATAGGATGCAATTTTATAGCTGTAGATAAATATTACAGTTAATAAATATACATAAAATGTTTTGTTTTGTATAAGACAGGATCTAACTCTGTAGCTCAGGATGGCTACAGGAGGCAATCCTCCTGTGCCAGCCTCCTGAATGATGAGATTATAGGTATGAGCCACCGAGCCTGGCATAGGTTTCTTCTAAATAAACTTAGCTTGTATTCTCCAGATTCATACCTATATATAAAATGTTCTGAACAAAGAGAGTTGGTGATCCTGTCAGTAACTGTATCAGAAGAAAACCTAGCAGTTGTCTTTCTATCAAAATGAACACTTTCCTATAGTACATTATCATTTGCATCACTGGAGACTAATTTGCAGCAGGTTTTCTTTTCTTCAGCCTTGATTTATTTATTTATTTTTGTGTCGCTGGAGATTGGACTGAAGACTTCATGACTTCATGCATGCTTCCTAAGCACACTAGCATTGAGTTATATCCCAGACCTTTTTTTTTTTTTTTTTCCACCCCAGGCAGCATTTAGCTAGCCTGGAGCTGTCTCTGTAGACCAGATTGCCTTTGAACTCTCATAGCTCTGTCTTCTTCTCCAGAGTTCTGGAATTAAGGGAATAGGCCATCACACCTAACCCTCTTTCAAAGGTATGTTTTTAAAATGCACATACAAGTGTTGAAAATACACAGTTTCATACAAAGAACTGTACCGGGCTGAAGTCATTTTCAACTTTTTTTACGCTTCTTTCAGTGCCCCCCCCCCCCCTTTAAATTTGGTTGGAGGCATGAGTTTCAAAGCAAATGTGTGAGGTCTAGAATGTTCAGCCAAGTGACCGGGGGCTAAAACTTTTGACTGTTAGTTTAGATGTCAGAAAAATACAAAGCTGATTGTAGATGACAATGTGAGGGTAATCCAGATGGTTTTATTTATTTATTATTATTTTTTGGCTTTTCTCTGTTTCAAGCTTTGGAGCCTGTCCTGGAACTCAGTCGGTAGACTAGGCAGCCTTGATTTACAGAGATTCTCCTGCCTCTGCCTCCTGAGTGCACCACCACAGCCCAGCTCCAGGGGCTTCACACAAGTTTAATGTGACCTAAAGTAAACGAGCTAATTCCCATTATGCAGATGACTTGACCATTGACAGGAATTAAGATAACACCAACAATACAAACAGGATTATAGACCTAGTAGGTTAGGAATGTTTTATCATAGTTTCATATGAATAATTAGGTTTTTATGAAGTAGGACCTTTTTTAACCTAGGGTGGCCTTGAATTCCCAACTGCTCTGGAAGCTACTTGTGGTCAGTGCTGCCAGGTCGGACTGATAAAATTTTCTGTTGTTTGCGCTCTGAGGGAACTTGTATAACTGAAAACAACTAAAGAGATCTTTATCCCAGTGTCTGCTCAAAGAAGTTCTCAGAACAGTACACAAATTATGAAAGTTGAAGCAATAAAAGACGGATATATTGAGATGAACGTTCACACTCTAAGATTGAATTTTTCTGTTGTTCTAGTGTCCCACTGGGTTGTCTTTGGATACTGGTCTATCTTAAATTTTATCTTAATGGTGCGAGGGGAGAAGTGAACCGTTTGGTTTAGCCTTGACAGACGAAGTTCCCGTCCTGTTTACCGGGTACTTTCTGAACACAGGTGTCCATCCAGATTTCTTCGGGCTAAGGGAAGCCAATGTGCACGTGAGTGTCCCTGGAAAAAGTCTCAGGAACCGGCTGCCTTGGCTCCTCCTGCCCAGGGTCCAAGCTCACCTGTTCCTCCCAGGAAAACAACCGGTTTGCAAGGAAGCTCCCAGCCGGGAAGGAGGAGGAGGGGCTCGGGCCAGGCGCGCGGCCGCGCGCAGGCGCTGCTGGGGGACGCGGAGGGGCGGGGCGCCGACGCGCGGACCCGACGCGCGCCGCCGCCACCGCCGCGTCAGCAGCGTGCTGCACGTGCCCGTGTTTACGTCCCTCGTGGAGCCGCCGACGTCACAGCCGAATGGCAACATTGTGGCGACGCTGAGACGCAGAGTTTAGGAGTCGGGTCTCTGGTTCCGGCTGGCTCGGCGCGGTCGGCGGGAGGCAGAGCGGCGGCGGGGCGATAGGCCCCGGCGAGCGCGGACGCGCGCCTCGGCGCATCCCATCACGCAGCTCCCGCGGCCTCACGCAGGCCGGCCAGGCGGCCCTGGGCCCCGCACTGCCGCAGCGAGCGGCTTGTAAACAGATCCGGCCGCACGTGACTATGTGAACTACCCGCTCCGGGCCGCGTATTGTCTCTTCGGAGAGTCGCGCCACAAAGGAGGCGGTGGGAGAGCGGCCGGAGCGCTAAGATGGCTGAAGGCGCCCGGCAAGGGTGAGCTGGGGGCGCGGCCACCGCGGAGACTCGGCCGGGCGGCCCCCCTCGGCCGGTCACTGGAGCTACCATGTCGTTCGCGCTGGAGGAGACGCTCGAGTCCGACTGGGTGGCGGTGCGGCCCCATGTATTCGACGAGCGCGAGAAGCACAAGTTCGTGTTCATTGTGGCCTGGAACGAGATCGAAGGCAAGTTTGCCATAACCTGCCACAACCGGACGGCCCAGAGGCAGAGGAGCGGTTCCCGGGAACAGGCGGGGACTCCTGCGCCAGATGGGAGTCGCGGACCCGGCAGCCCGGCGACCCGGGGCCGACCCGAGGCCGCTGCCTCTGCCACGGCGCTCCGGAGCCCCGGGCCGCGGAAGAGCCCGGCCTGGGCCGAGGGTGGCTCTCCGCGCAGCGCGCGCAGCCCGAGAGGGAATCCTCTCCGGGGTCCGGCCGGCAAAGGACCGGAGAGTCCCCTCCGTAGTCCCGCGCGGGCCAAGGCCAGCCCGCTTCGCAGAGGCGCGGAATCCCGAGATGCGGCCGCCGCTGCCACGCCAGCCCCGCCGGCGCCCCCGGTGTCGTCGGTGCGAGTGATGAGTGCCTGCGGGGCGGTCTCCGAGGAGATCGAGGTGCTGGAAATGGTGAGGGAGGATGAGGCGCCACCGCCGCACCCCGACGCGGAGCGGCCGCCGTCCACCGCGGAGCTGGAGTCACCGGCTGAAGAGTGCAGCTGGGCCGGGCTCTTCTCCTTCCAGGATCTGCGGGCCGTGCACCAGCAGCTGTGCTCGGTGAACTCACAGCTGGAGCCGTGTCTGCCGGTGTTCCCCGAAGAGCCGTCCGGCATGTGGACGGTGCTGTTCGGGGGCGCCCCCGAGATGACCGAGCAGGAGATCGACGCTCTGTGTTACCAGCTCCAGGTCTACCTGGGCCACGGCCTGGACACGTGCGGCTGGAAGATCCTGTCCCAGGTGCTCTTCACCGAGACCGACGACCCCGAGGAGTATTACGAAAGCCTCAGCGAGCTGCGGCAGAAGGGCTACGAAGAGGTGCTTCAGCGGGCGAGGAAGCGCATCCAGGAGGTGAGAGTCTAGTGCGAGCGGCCGCCCGCCCTGGGATTGGTGTCTCTCTGTCAAGGGCTGGAGCCTCGGTTTGGGCTGTGCGCCAGTGTGTGAAGGCAGAACAGGAGGGATTTCTGAGCCAGTTCTCTTTAATTATCTCAGCGAAGGATGTTTAGGAAGTCTTTAGGCTTTCTCGACCCCGTTTTTATTTCTTTTCCTCCTAAAAGTTTACTAAATATAGGTAGTTTACTAAATATAGGTAGAGAGATAAAAGCGTTTACGAAAATAGATATTCTGTAAAACTTGAACTAAACAACAATAACTTGCCCACACTTTAACTATTCTTCAAATAACTCAAAATAGTTGTCTTAAAAGAACAGATATGATCTACGTTTTGTTTCCCTTGTGTGCTCTGGCAACACAGGCAGGTATGTTACCTTTCAGTAAAGTGTAGCACTGCAGAAAGTGTACCACTGAGCTTCACCCCAGCCCTAAATTCAAGTTGACTTGTCCAAATGAGAAAGAACCAAATGACAATTGATAACAAATTTTTAGACTATCAAGTCTTTACAGATGGCTCAAGTTTCACTCCTGTTTTATGGAGGAGGAAGGTCATGGGCAGGAATGCTCATGTTTTTTGTATGTAGTGTGAAAACTTTTCCATACTCCTTAAATAACAGGAAACAAAGAGGGAGATGCCAGGACGACCATCCATAGGGAGCTCTGCAGTGTGTTTACAAAGTCAGGCCTCCTTACTGGCTTCTTTTGAAACTTACTGAAAAGAGTAATTTAAGAGCTTCTTCCAATGGATGGTATATGTAGTTAGCATTTTACTATTTCAGTATTACTGTATATCAAAGCAATTTACTATTTTAATGTTACTTTATATCGTAGTTGGATTTGGGATGGAAAAAAAACTGCTTTTCATGGTGTCATTTGTCTGTGTATTTTACATGTATGATACACATTTCATGGTGTCATTTGTCTGTGTGTATCATACATGTATTACACACACACACACAGGCACGCGCGCACCCCTCTGCTGTTAAGTCAGGAAGCTGGACATTCTGGGTTTCTTCATAGAATATTAGGTGTTTCTCTTTGCTAGACTTGAGTATTTAGGAAACACTTTCTCCTGTATACCACACACAGTACATTTAAAATTTCCTTTTTCAAGAGTTCACTACTAGGTCCAAGCCTTCAACCCCAGCACTTGGGATTCACTCTGGGAGGCCGGGGCAGGTGGATCTCTGTGAGTTTGAGGCCAGCCTGGTTTGAATAGTGAGTTCCAGGACAACCAGAACCACTTAGTGACACCTTGTCTTGGAAGGAAAAAAAAGATTCTTCAGGTTTTTCACTCCTTCCCTTTGGTTTACTGTACGTACGGTAAACAGCACCCACAGTGATCTGATCCTCGAGTTCAAGGGATCTGTTTTCATTTCCCCTTTGTTATCTCACTTCCTGGAGACTTCTACCTTGATGTTTTGGACAGAGGTAACTAATGTGATGATATTCTTTCTAGTGTTTAAATTAACGTATATTTCAACCCCCCCCCCCCCACACACACACAGCGTTTCTCTGCAGCTTTGGAGCCTGTTCTGGAACTAGCTCTTATAGACTAGGCTGGCCTCGAACTCACAGAGATGCACCTGCCTCTGCCTCCCGAGTTCTGGGATCAAAGGTGTGCGCCACCACCGCCTGGCCCTATGTTTCTTTTATATAGGGCTTCTGAAATTTTTTATTAGTTTTGTGTGTGTGTGTGTGTGTGTGTGTGTATGCTAGTTTCTCAGAAAATTACAAATAGCTACTGTTTATCAAACTAGAAGCTTTTTAATCCCTTAATTTAGAGATGTCTGATTTCAACTTTAAATGATACTAAAAAAGTAGCTATCTTTGTTTTCAAATTTCCAGTGGGTCAAAAATGAGCTTTTAGCTTTTTAGAATTCAATTTTGAGGGCCAATTTTTCTTAAAAGAACACATTTTCCAATGCTGGCAGATTAAGTGTAGAGACTAGTTAGTGATGTCTGCAATGGATGTGATGGAAGTGTATTAAGATTTCTAGCCGGGTGGAGGTGGCACACACCTTTAATCCCACCCAACACTTGGGAGGCAGAGGCTAGTGGATCTCTGTGAGTTCCAGGCCAGCCTGGTCTACAGAGCAAGTTCCAGGACAGGCTCCAAAGCTACAGAGAAACCCTGTCTTGAAAAAACCAGGAAAAAAAGAATTTCTAAGTGACTTACTTAGGTTGTCAATGTGTTCTTCCACAGCTTAGATTCTTTTCTGTATTAGTAGTTTGCTTTTGGGGAGAGGAGTATGTGGAGTGGTTTGCAATGTGCTAAGCAAGTGCTCTACCAAAGAGCTGTAATATGTCATCCCTTGATAGAACATTTGGTTGGTGAAACAGGACTCTAGTCCAGGCTGGCGCACGGAATCTCACATCAACCTCTCTAGCATGCACCAACTACTTTTTTTTAAAAAATTGTTTTATAGCAGTTGTATGTCGCTTCTATTCTGTTGACTTTATTTTTATTCTACTTAATTTAGTGTCATCTTCCCATATCTCAATCGACATAGCTTGTGGAATTGAACTTTTTTTTTTCTTTCAAGACAGGGTTTCTCTTTGGCTTTGGAGCATCCCCTGGAACTTGCTTTGTAGGCGAGGATGTCCTTGAACTCAGAAATCACCTGCCTCTGCCTTCCGAGTACTGAGATTAAAGGTTCAGCCACCACTGCGTGGCAGAACAAACTCTTTTATGTTGGCTGTGTCTGGTAAATCACATGTTTAACAGATAATACTTAAAAAATGTAGTTCTTCATATTTTTTCTTCAATTTTCTTGAGTCTGTTATCTATTCCCATAGCATGACTTTCCTAGCTGTAAGCTCCATACTTGTTTTTGTTCAGATGATCAGGGATCGCTTAAGGGAGGTTTTGTCTCCAGGATATTCAAATACAGGGTCTTGTACGCTTGCGAATTTTTTCCTACTGAGCCAGTCTCCAGTCCTCTCCTTTAAAAAAACAAGTGGAAAAACAACTTCATAAGGAAGGCCACTGACCTTGACTCTGTTGAATTTCCTGCTTTTCCAACCACTTGTTCAGAACACTCAATATTAGTAGATAAGACATGCCATTTTAATGTAAAGTTGTAGATAAATGCAAGTTTTTTGGTGGTATTTTTTTTGTTGTTGTTGTTTGTTTTTCGAAACAGGGTTTCTCTGTAGCTTTGGAGCCTGTCCTGGAACTAGCTCTTGTAGACCAGGCTGGCCTCAAACTCACAGAGATTCACCTGCCTCTGCCCCACTAGTGCTAGGATTAAAAGCATGCGCCACCACTACCTGGCTAAATACAAGTTTTATAAGTTGACAAATGTATATTCTTCAGGGAAGATTATTTAAAATAGACGAAAATTCTCTTAAAATTGTTAGTTTTTAGATTTTAGATGTTCTCCATATGTAGCCCAGACTGTCCTCAGATTTATGATCCTCCTCTCTTAGCCTCCTGACTGAAATAATGTGGGTGTCTCAACTCCTGGCTTGTTAAACTTTTAAATACCAAAAAGGAATGGGGACTGAAAGTGTGGTTTATGGAGTGCTTGTCTGACATGAAGTTCTGGTTTCAATCCCCAGCCCTGGAACTTTGGTACCCACACCTGGACTCTGAGTTCTTTGGAGGTGGGGCAGGATGATCAGAAGAAGTTCAAGGCATCCACTGTGTGGCAAGTTGAAGCCAAATGAATACATGAGACCCTGTCTCAAAAACATAAACATGAACAACATTCAGAACAAAAACCACTACTGCAAATTATTTGCTCTGCTATGTAAGGTTGTGGCACTTGAATTGGAGTTTAATATTTGCAGTTCCCTTAAGGTTTAATATGGGTTACCAGGCCTGTAGTCTGAGCCACTCAGGAGGGCAAGGTGGGAGAGTCACAAGTTTAAGACCTGCCTGGGTAAATTTAAGTGAATTTCTATCAAAAAATAAAGAACTGGGGAGATAGATAGGCCACTTCTTTATTGTATGTGAGGCCTCAGTTCAGTCCCTAGTACTCCAAAGGAAAGAAGATTGGTATGGGGAGCTGAAGAAGCCCTCCCGTGTGTGTTTTCTACTGCAGGTTTTTGTTCAGATTCACACCTGTAGATTATAGTTCATGAGGGTTTACAAGTTTTACAATAATACAGTATTTAGATGACATACACATTCTAAAGTTATATACTAAAGCCTCATTCTAAATAAAATGCAGTATTATTTGTAGTTTTGTTGGATGTTTTATATAAGTTTATTATAGTATCTATTATTTATACAGCAGGCAATTTTTATATGAATACAGGTACTTCAAGGCCTCTTTGAACAGTGTTGCAGTAGATCTTAGTTGTTGGTCAAAGCTAAGGTTTGTATTACTGTGTGTGCTCATAGGTAGCTTAAAGCTTAACTTTGACCTAGATTTTCAAGTAATGGTTTCTTGTATGATGATAACTATTTTTCAAATGATTGATTTTGGTGTTTCAGCTCATAAACCTCAATTATGACAGACTTACTTAAGATCTGAAAATCTGCTTACTTTGGAAATTATTGTTTACATAAATATGCTGAACTCTAACTTTCGAGTTAAATTCATAGAGAGCAGAAAGTGCTTTCAAAGAGGCCACTGAACATCTCACTAGGGTTTGGAGTCAGAACAGTCTGGATTTTGATTGTGACTCATCGCTTCTAATGGCATGCTTTGCTATTTAGTCTCTTAAATGAGAGGACTGTATGGAATCACAGCTACCTGGCATTTACAAAGATAGGTAGCTTCTAATAAGTATGGTGGAAGTACCAAGCTTTAAGTATTCTGGTGGAGCCCAGCTTGAAGGCTAGGCAGTACTCTACCATTGAGTTACATCCCCAGTCCAAATGGAGGTTTACTTTTTTTTTTTCCCCCAGACAGGGTTTCTCTGTAGCTTTGGAGCCTGTCCTAGAACGAGCTCTTGTAGACTGGGCTGGCCTCAAACTCATGGAGATCAGCTTGCCTCTGCCTCCT